CTTTAATTCATTCAATAATTACTAAATAACCTTCATCATATTTCTAATAAATCATTGAACTATTCAATTATCCTACTTTAATCACCAATTTTTAAAACTTTACAATTTGGTCACTAACCCGGTATTGAGGATGTTACAAATACCAAGTGTCTTTGAAAAATAGCTGGACCCTCTAATGTGTTCCTTATGTGCTATATAATTGTTTTGAATTATCATGTGCACATGACTATTTTATCTGATTCAAAATTTGGCTGCCTTATTTGGTTTGCTTCAAAATGAATTAGCTAATTTAAAGCCTGATTTCTGATTCACTGAATTTTAATCTATGTTACCCGATACATGCTATATGGTTATCAATTTATATTGAAAAAATATAAATATGTCTGATTTATGGAATCTTGATACTATTGTTTACTCTATGAAATTGTTTTATTGGGTGCTCTCTAGGATGTATTTTGTAGTTCTAAGGTTCAACTATAGTCAAGCTGGTAATTCCTTATGGACATAAGGTGTAATACCCCAAAATACGAGTTAGTAGTTCGGTTAAGAATCATATGAGTTTAGGGTATCATGTCATTGAGATAGTGGGTTAAGAATGGCTTGGGTGTGGGCTTGGGTTAACCCAAGAAATGTTAAAAAAATGGTAATTATGAATTATGTGAAATGATGGAGGACCAAAAGAGTGACTTTTCCATTGTTTGAAATTAATGATGAATTGGATTAAATAGGGAGAATGTCGCGTGGAAGGGGAAACATGCTTCCTTATCTCCTTATTCTTACTTTTCTTTTCTCTCTCTTCATATTTCCTTTGTAAGATAACCGAAGGTGTGAACTTTGTTATTCTTTAAATATAGGTTGAACTTGAAGAGGTAAGAACCATCATCTTCCATCTAGAGCTCCATTTTAAGCCATTAATCTTGAAACTTGGTAATAATACCCAAAATAGTGGTTTAAAAGAGGTTTTAGGATTTTAGGACCTTAGGATATTTCAAATCCATCCATCCATAAGGGTTTAGAATTGTGTTTCAACTCATTCAAAGCCTTTAAGTAAGTTAGTAATCTTTTTAAATTATTTTGGCTAATAAGAGAAGTTGGTGAAAGCTCAAAAGGCTAGAACAAATAGAAGTTGGTGCTTGGGTGATCCTGTGAGCACTTTCCATCAACTAGTGCTAAGTAACACACACTTAACTCACCTATATCACTTGTAGGCCTTTAATGTTTTGCTTGCTTGTATATGATTTATGGATCATTTGGGTGCATTTGGGAGTAGACAATTTTAGTACCGATACTCAGGCAAGTATTGATACCATAGAAAACAATATCAATACTCTATGTAAGAGTATTAATAATTGAATATTTTCCCAAACATCAAATGCAATATTGGTATCGATACTAGTGGTAGTATCGATACCATGAGAGGGGAGTATTGATACCCAGGGTGAGAGTGTCAATACTAACATAATTTTTCAAACATCGAATAAAATTTTAGTATCAATACTTGAAGAAGTATCAATACCCTAATATGGAAGTACCGATACCCAAGATTGAGTATTTGTACCCTTGTGAATTTGAGTTATGAGCCTTGATTACTTTAGAAAGACAAGAAAGGGATTTCATGCGAGTAGAGACTTTCTTATAAATTTGCAAGTGAGAAACTAGAGGAAACTTGGGTTACATGTATGACGATTTTCTATATTACATGTTTGTGATTATCCAAATGCGATCTATGCAGTGCTAAGACACTTTGTATTAGTGCGAATGCACTTTCGTATTAGTGTAAGACACTTTCGTACTAATGTTAAAGGACTTTAGCTATTCGAGGCAACACCCTCATACTTGAACCTTGATCATGAGATGATCTTTTGATTATGAATAATGATTAAAGCACCATGTGACTTATGACTATACTTGCTAGTATATACGTTGATGATTGCATGTAGTATCGTTGCGTTATTTGTGTGGCACTAAGCATTGTAGTTCAATGTTCAGAATTGTTTCGTTCGTAGGTCTTTAGGTGTCTTTTTGATGAGCTTATTGTAAGTGTGAAGATTCCAGATTTGATCAAGTCTAGACTACGCCTCAGTTATTTTAGTTACACGTATTTCATAGACCATTTTTATATATTGAGTCACAACTCTTTTGAGAAACTCAATGTATTTTGAGATGCTATTTTTTTTGGAGCTCCCTGTTTGTAAAACTTAACTATTCCATTTTAAATTATAGATGTTTTGTTATAAATTATGAGTAATGATTTTAAATAATAGTTAGCCACTTCAGTGGTTCCGTTTAATATCCAAATCTTTCGAATTTCAAGTCGCATCAGATTTGGGTGTTACATAAGGTGGCCTTCGAGTGGGGCCATAGGCCCCACGATACTCCCTTATGTTGGCTTTTATACCCAATGGGTACAGAGTAAGTCCTTATGAATGTAGTTATGGACGACTGCATTTCGATATACGGGTGGAGGGTAGTTATGTGATTTAAATAAACATAATTATCACTTTTACGATATTTTACTGGCTCACGGTTATGATTTTACAATTTTCTACTTGATATGATTTATATTGGGGTATTAAGTCCTTTGTCAACCATCAAATTTTGGACATTAAGATTATCATTATCATCTAACACAATGATCGTCTGATGAGCTTTGTCAAGAGTGGTTTTGGGGGTAAGTCGAGAGTTGTTGGCTTTGTAAGATTCTTGGAGATTATTGGAAAATCCGCAAGAGAAGTAGTGAAGGGTCTTCTAAGCAGGACCTTCTTGGGTGACTTTGACATCTCGGGACTTTACCCTTTGATTTGGGGATCGTCTTCGAGTTTGCTCGCTCTTTATTCAGCCAGGGTGGAGCTTGATGGGTAGCCTTATTGTCAGTTTGAGTATCAGTTTCCGGATCATCATTAGAAGGTTCAAAGATGAGATTAAATCACGATTCAGAAATTGTAATTTCAGAAGTACTCTTCAGTTGAGCTTGAGGTTTCTTTGATGTTTGACGCTGGCATTTTTTAACGACCATCCAAGAACCAAACATTGGAGAATCTTTGTTTGACTCGTTTTCAGCTAGTGGGATCTCAGGCTCTTCCTGTTCATGACTGATGACAACAACATGGAGGAAGTTTGCAGGTGACTATATTTCCCACAATTAAAACATATGGAAGGGATGGACTAGTATTCCACTATCTGAACTCTTCTTTAACCACAATATTTGAAATCAAAGGTTTATTCAAATCAATATTGATCGTCATCCGCACAAAACGACCATACTTTATACTCTCAGTTTGGTAATCTAGACGGATAACTTTGCCGATACATTCCCTAATTTCTGTAATAATGCTTCATTTATAAAGAGTTATCGGAAGCCCCGACAAGCGGATCCATGCCATGATCTTTTTCAGGTAGGGATTTGAAGATGAGGAATCCTCCGTCCATGGCTCAACAGTAAGGTAGTGTCCAAAATTCATCCAAGGTCTATATGCAAGAGCAATAAGAAATTCGTCACGAGAAAGAACTGAGGTAAGGAAATAATAATTTCGATATCCATTAATTTGATTGTTAATTTTGGTTTTTATAGTTTGCAGATCTTGGACTTTAGAGTATTGTATCCAATACGACGCCCTAACAATTTTGATCACCACCTTTTGATCGAGGGATTTTGCCGCCATCGAAATGATGCGATCGGAGAAATTGATCGAGATCAATCCATCAACCATAATTCGGACAACATCGCCTTCTTGGATTCTGATGTCCTCATCGTCTAGGATCTCATCATCAATTCTATAATCCGATCCATCATTATTCATTAATGAGGCTCTGTATGACATCGGCTTTCCCATTATTTTCGCTTGTGCCATGCTTCATCTATATTATAATCGTCGCTAGGGAATAGTTATGTGGGAACAAGGAGGGAAGGGATCTCCATCGGTGTAGCATCAATGATGGGAATAGGGGATCATCATCTTTCCGTTTGGTTTTTTGGGTCTCGTAGGTTCTTCGGAATTCTCAGAGAAAATAGCCGTTGACATGTCAACCTTGTTCCGGATACTTCAATTTCAAAGAAATTGTTTATGAAGATTACAGAAATATCATGAAAGTAACATTCAAGATAAAATAGTAGAATATGAATAATTTGGAATATAATGATAGGATTAAAGTGACTGAGAAAATATTGTACATGGGTAATGTTACATTAAAGTCTAAAAAAGTATACACCCCTTACTATTTTTTTTAATTATGGATAATTTTTTGTTTTATGTAAATTACATTAATCGATTATTATTATTTTATGTTTTAAAAAATAAATTATGAATATAACGTTATTGATCTTTCATATTATGATTGTTTAATAATTAATTTTTGATAAGACAATTTTAAGAAGAGTAAATATCTAATTTGATCTATTGTCTTGGATTTTTGTGTATGTGAAAATTTTCATTAGAGACTCACTCATCAAAATTAGATGTACAATACGGATCGGTCTGAATTAGTCCGGACAAATCCTTAGAACCGAGAGGACAATATATATATATATCAAGTTTGACCCACATTCAAAATATTAATTTGATACCTATACAATTTTTAATTTCAATTCTAAAAAATAACTAAAATCTAAAATTCTTCATTTCAAATCCTTCGGTTCTTGTTTTACGACTCTGATATTTTTTTTGGGGTTTAAATAATTCATTTTAAGGTTTTGGTTATGGATAGGAGCAGTGAAGAGCATGGTGCAATATATGGAGCAAAATCAAAACCCGAGGTTTCAACCTCTCAATCTCACTCTTTTTTGTCTCCTCTTCATCTTCATCTAATTTTGTTTGTTTTATAATTCCAATTCATTGATATATTATGCTGTTTGACCGAAGAATATCCTCCTCTTTTTAATTCTCTTTCCTTTGCTAATTATCATCCAAAACATGGTTACAAAATTATTTTATAGACACAAGGCAAATCATTCTCTTTAATTATTCAAAACAAAATTACATCCAAACTCTAAATATTATATTATGTTGATAACACCCACAACAACACATTTTTTCTCTTGATATAGCATAAAAAAAATAAAAATAAAACATACTATATTTATCCTTCCATCTGTATATTGATGTTTAATATTATTCTAAGGCTTATGGTTCTGAGTGTATATGTAATCCAAGTGAGCTTCTTGAATCACCCTTCTTTTCACACATTCTTCATCTTTCTCCTCGCACTCTTCTGCTCCCATCAACTTCTTCCCCAATAATAAAAACAAATACTATTTCTATTAGCCCATTTAACATCAATAATATAGCTTCCTCTTCTTCTTTTAAAAAGAAAAAAAAAACACACGTTTAACCCAGAAAGGAAAAAAGAAAAGGAAAGATAAAATTTCTTACATATGAGAGATCTTCCTTTGCATCAGCTTGGGTGATCATCCCGTTTGTGTTGAACTCCTTTTCATCTGTTTGCTTACAATTTAACTCGTCAAAAGAATAAATCAAAGAGAAGATATATAGTAATATTGTAAATTTGGGAAAGGGATTAGTTGAAACAAACCATGGTTGATTTGCAGCAGCAAACGAGCAGATGATGAAAGAAGAAGAAAAGCTAAGACCAAAAAGCTTAAAAACCCAACACTGTTTCCCTTCATTGTTTTAGATTAAAGAAAGGAAGATTGAGAATAATATTAGTAATGAAGAAGAGTGGGAAAGTGTACATAAATAGCAGCAGAAGAAGAGAGAGCCTTTTAAGTCACATGCACAACCTTAACACGACAGTTACAACTCTCAACAGTAACAACTCTAAAAAATTCTTTAAAATGGTACTGTACATATTTAGTGATTAAAAAAAAATTATATGTAATGTTATTTCATTTTGTTCATCAACTGTTAAAAAAATTAACATCGATGTTGACATGTCATTAAGATAATATCATATCATCATTAGAAGAAATAAAAATTACCAAATTAACAATTTTTATTTTTATTTTTTAATAACAAATGATCAAAACATAACAAAAACATAAAATTAAATATGTTTTTAAATAAAAATAAATGAATCATAAAAAATAAAACCATATAAATGAGTGAGTAAGTAAATACATAATTTACCAAAAAAAAATGCAAACGAGTAAACAAATTTGTCTTTTTACACATTTTGAATACTCGGCCAAATAATTAAAATAATTAGATAAATACTAAAATGATATATAGATTTTAATTAATGTGCATTATATTATATGAATTTTAATTTTTATTTAATTAAATATATATTTTAAGTTTAATTATAATTTCATAAATTATTAATATTACTAATAATGTAATAATATTTTTTTAAAATTAAATATTATTAAAAGAAAGAACAACTAGATCAACAATTAAGTAAAGGATTGATTGATACTAAAACTCAAATTAATATATTTATTGTAATATTCTAAGTATCTGTTATGAGATGAATTTAGTGTCACATTGAATCATGGAAATGATCATTACTTAAATTTTTCTATTTTTCAACTTAGGAAAAATCCACAATAAATTCAAACTATAAAAACTAGGGTAAACTACACATTTAGTATCTAAACTATCAATTTTAGTCCATTTTAGTACCTAAACTTTCAAATTTTTCAAAATCATACCTAACGTTTAGTTTTTGTTTCATTTTAGTACTCCCACTGCTAAAAACTTAACTTTTATATTACTTAAACTATCAGTTTTAGTTTGTTTTAGTACTTAAACTTTTAATTCGTTTTCAAAACTTAATGTTAAATTTTGAACATGGATACTAAAATGAAACAAAAACTAAACTTTATGTATGATTTTGAAAAAATTGAAAGTTAAGGTACTAAAATAGACCAAAACTGATAATTTAGGTACTAAACGTGTAATTTACCTTAAAAAATTATAAAAGCATTTAAAACATATTTACGAGCAGGAGCCCCGTTTACAAATATTCTACAAAAACAAAATCTCAAAATATAAAAAGTCTTACTGACCCTTTTATATAAATAACACAAATAAAAAGGGTTAACAGGGGATGCAAAATTGGTGTCATTGCAGGCCAAAGGTAAAATGAAGACTAGAGCTACATAAAATTCGACGACAAAGTCTGGTCATGTCATGTCCACTCTATTTCTTGCTTTAGAGTTTGGAATTTGAAGGCATGACAACCCTTCCCCACTCACGAGAATTTCATGTAAATCTAACTACTACTTTCCATATTTTATTTACAATATTCATTTCTAGAATTTTGTACATGATTGAGAAAATCGAAAATCAATTTTATCAAATTTTGTTTGATTTAAATTCAATTATTTTTTATTGTAAAAAAGCAATTATTGTTTATATATATATATATAATTTTATTAATTTTTTTTATAAATGTCAAACTATAATTATTAAAATTGAATTGAAACTATAATTTTAGGATACAATTTGGAGTTAAACTAGACAATTTGAGAGAGATTTAGAGTGATTATCGAACTTAAAATACAACATTTCTAAGTCGGTGTATAGATATTGAATGAATAATACAATACCAAATGAACTGATGAAAAAATTTGGATAAAATACAATGGTAGTATTGATATTGTTTATAGAGTATCTATACAAATGAACTGATGAAGAAATCTAGATAAAATACAATCGTAGTATCGGTATTGTTTATAGAGTATCGGGACTCCTCTCAGTAGTGTTGATACTATTCACTTCGAAGTATTTTCTGATATTGATACTACTTGTATCTATACTACTAGTATATGTACTCACAATATTAGAGCTATCTAGTTGAGTATTAATATTTTCCGACATCAAAAGATTAGAAATATCTTTCGTTGCACGCGAATGTCTATGGATTGTTATGAAATATATAAATAAACTTGGAAAGGGTCCTAATTTATGAAACAACTAAAATATTCTTAGGTAGTGTAAATTATCAAAATACCCTTGGTGGGTAAGAAACTTCAAAGCGCCCCTAAATGGACATATAACGAACAATTATAAACGAAAATTCATTACGAAGGATATGCATGCAAGGGAGATGATGTACCATACGAATAATATGCTAGAGGAATCACATACCATGTAAATATTGATAAATTGATGTTGTGCAAGCCGTCCCTCTGGTTCAAGGGTGAATTAAGAGAAAATATGGAGAAAGTGACTAGATAGTCACTAACGATTAATCAACCTCGAGTTGTGTGACATCCTAAATTGAAATATTTCAGAATTTGTTAGTCAAAGTAGATAAATTGAAAAGTTTAGGGACTTATATTGTAAATTTTGTATAGGATTAAATATTAAAGAAGGAAGAATGGAAGGGAAAAATAATCATTTAATGAGGAAATAAATTAAAAATTGAGAGATGGAGGATATATATACACGTGTAGTGGAAAGGAAGAGAGAAAAGGAAATATCCAGAACAACCTTTCTCTTCTTCTTCTTCCTTCAAACGTGAGAGCCAAATAAAAGGTGAGTTCCTTGTTAGTTGTTTATTTGTTGAATTTAAGGTTGTTTTATGATCTTTGGATAATACTTAAGCTTAGGGAAAACTTAAGTCATCTAAAAATCAAAGAATGAAAGAGTTAGAAGAGATTAAAGAGTAGAAGTTTTTAGATGAAAGTTTAGAAAAGAGTTAATAAGTGGAATTTGAAACTAAATTTGACTTGTCAAAGGTTGAATTAAGAGATATGAAGTGATAGAATTGAATTTAGAACAAGTAGAAAATTTGGAATGATTCTTGAATTCCATATGGAGGATGAGAATTTGAGGATAAAGATGTGTTAAATGTCTAGGAATTTGTTTGAGTATGTATCCTTGAGTTAAGGGTATTAAAGGAGCTAAGCTATCAAGGATTTTAGTTAGAATGAAGTAATTTTCGGGCTTAAAAAGTGATTTCTAGGCAAGGGGTATCGGTACCCATTCATTAGGTACCGATACCTCAAGAGTGAAAATTATCGAAGGCATTCAAAGGGTATCGATACCTGGAAGGTAGTATCGGTACCATAGGTACCGATACCATAAGAGAGGTATCGATACTAGGGAAATATCAAATGTAATTTTGGCAACAATACTCGTCTTGGTATCGATACCCTCAGCTAGGGTAGTACCGATACCCTATAATGGGTACCGATACCTCTTCAAAGGGAACTTGAAAATAGACTTTTCTTTTAGTTTAAGAAATGAAAGATTAGAGTATGCCATTGGGAATACTGATATGTATAAATGTATGATCATGTAGACATCGAGCGTAAACAAGTTTCGGAACAACCACCGAATTAGGATTTGATCGAAAAAAAGGAAGGCATAGGGGTAATTAATAGCCAGTGAGGCCAAGGTGAGTGCATACTATAGATATAATTCAAAGGAATTATGACTTGTGATAAGTTTATTCCTATGTTAGTATTTATAGCATAGTAATTATGAACATGCATACATGATGATTATTATAAATATATGCATAAACTATATATATGTTTATAGGATTTGATAAATGATATATGATTCATATGAATAGATGCAAATACACATGCTATATGATACGAGATTGATAATTATATGTACATGTGATATGTGATAAAAGAAAAGATATATGTGATTACAAGAGAAATGATATAAATACATGAACATATGAAGAATAACAATATTGCCCATGTTATGTGATATGAGAGCTAGGGGTATAGTTGGCATGCCAAGAGTCGAGGGTTACATAGGTCATTCGGGACAAATACAGAGGTTCGTCGGGACATATACATAGGTCCTTCGAGACAAATTTCATATGCCCCTAGTGGGACCCATAAAGCTGTGGTGATAGCATATGTGCACAACCTCAATGTATTCGCATACCTTAAGTTCTCAGTAATGTACATGGGCCTATAAGAGATAACAAATGTATTTACATGAGTATATGTTACCATATTGATATTGTTTATATTGTATCATATGTGTGACATGATTAATTTATGCTATGATTATAAATGAGTAATTAATTGCATGTTCATATTTATAAGAAATGCATTATTATATTTTATGCCTCACTAAGTCTATGACTTAGCGTTCAAGCGTTTTTACATGTATGTTCAGATGAGCAAGAAGATCAAGTTTAGGAGTTTGCAGAGCGGCATATCTCTACTCAAAGATCAGATTAGAAGTAAATTCACAGTATGTATTTTGTTGGGTGAAAAGTGTTGGCATGTACAAAAGTGTAATTTACGCATGCTCTGATCAATTTGGTAATGTCGAACTCAATTATGTATATATGGATTTTATGTTAAAAAAAGTTTAAAGTTTCGTATAGTTTTTACGAATGTATATGCTTTAAAAAGTCAATGTGACACCTCAGACTCGTATCCGGGTCGGGTACGGGTTGGGGGTGTTACAAGTCGAGTATAGACTAGTAATGATATACCACATGGATAGTGAAAATATTAAATGACTTAATGTCTTAATTACTAGAAGATCCCTTTAGAGGCAAAAAGTAAGGGTGTGCAAAAAGATATGATTTGATCCATTGATATAATCTAAAAATTTGGATATTCGAATCATTTTTTATTTTAATTTGAATCGAATATCTAAAAAAAGCAGATAATTAAATTAGATACGAATCGAATAAATTCAAATTTTGGATTATTCAAAAATCCAAAAAAATAAATAAATTGTGCCTTTAGATTTTAATTAGCCTTTAACCCAATAAATGAGTAA